AATAGGGACAAGAAAGTCAAAACATATACAACTATAGTAAGTGAAACAATGTAGATTAAACAACAGGATCGATGGAAGAGGGAAGAGTGGAGAAATAGCCATATATATGAGACTTTGGTGTATTTCAAAGGGCCATTTCAGGCTAGTGGAGAAAAGATGTCAGGGCTGGCTGTCTATTAGGGGAAAAATTATTAAGTTCATACTGTGTATCACTAAAAAATAAATTCCAGGTGTATTAAGATTTTTAAAACACCAAACCGTAGGGTTACATGAATGAAATACAAGAAAACATATTTAAAACTTTCGCATAGGGAAGGTCTTGCATCTTAAGATACAAAATACAGAAACCTATGTAAGAACGACAAATCTGACTTATGAAGTGACAACTTCTACATAAAGTATACCACAAGCAGTTAGAAAACATGCAGCAAAATAAAAACATGTTCACAAAAAGGGTTGTGTATGCTTTGAATATTCATAGCTACTTTATCATAGTCTCAAACTGGGAAGAACACAGGTGTCCATTAGTAAGACAATGGACAAAGTGTGGTTGGTTCATACAGCAGACTACTCTTCCTAGAAAAATGAAGAAATTATTGTTGATTATAACGTGGATCTCAAAAATATTATGCTGAGCTCAAAAGACCAGGCACTGCATAATTCTATCCCATGAACTTCGGGACCAGGTAAAACATAATTTAGTGGAAAAAACCTCAAAATAGAGGTCACCCCTGGGGGCAGGAGGGGAGGGATTGCCTGAGAAGGAACAGGAGAGAACGGTCTCGGGTGATAGTAATGTTCTTTGTCTTGATAGGGGTTTGGGTGACAGCTGTATCCTTGGTCAAAAGATACGTTTTGTTGTATATAAATTTTATTTTTGGAGAAAAAAATTATAAAAAGTTAACGAACTCTAAATGATAGGTATGCTGAAGCAAAAATGAGAAGGATTAATGGATGGATATATAAAGCAAGTATAGCAACACATTAAAGGTAGAAGCTAGGTAGTGAGTATAAAACTCTTTCAACTCTTCTGTATGTTTGACATGTTTCATAACAAAATGTTGGGGAAAAGAGATAAGCAACAGACTGAAGGAAAAATATTTCCAGCAAATAAGAGATTTTGCCCAGAATTTTCAAAAAGCTAATTATCAATAGAAAAAATAAAAAGCTCAATTGAAAATTAGCAAAGACCTTCCAAAAAAAGGCAAATGCCAAAAATGCCTAAAACCATCATCCTACTCATAAATAGAAAAAAATTCAAATTAAACCACCACCACCCACCAGGCTGGCATCAGGGCGCAGGTGTCTGACAGTGTTGGAGGGTACGTGGGTTTCCTGCCCGCTGCTGGGGGCTGTGTGAGGTGGCGCAGCCGCTTAGCACATGCGAGTCTGTTGAAGCTCATCTCCCACCTCCCTCTACCACCAGAGAGGGGTAGCGGTGAGCAAACTCCTAACACCCATGCTCCTCCGGCCCTTGCCACAGTAGTTAGAATGAAGTGGAGTCACCATGGATAGATCTATGACCTAGTGCTAATTGAGAATCACATACGCAGTTATAGCACTTACAGAAAAAGCAAAACTGCTGTACAAGTACACACACATACACTCTGCGGATGACAAGGTCTGGCAAGATGCAAACTGCTATCTTGGTGAGGAGATAGGACTGGGAGTGGCAGCCGGAACAACTTGACTTGAAATGAATATAATTTGAAATAGTTAATTAAATTTACAAGACCGTATTCATGTACTGCTCACCTAATTAAAAGCATTAACATATCATTAGTTTAAAACAAAGCTCAGTCACTTTCCTAGCACTTAAAGTAGCTAATTATGTACTTACTGATTAGGATTTTATAACCTGTATCCCCAAACCAGGCTTTCATTTCTCTCAATCATCCCTAAATCAATTCCCATCCCCTGCACACCCTGGGAGCTCAGATCTCCACAGGTCTTTTGTGAGGCCGTCATCATCGGGGTCCACGACCCCTTCCGTCCTCATCAGGTGCTGCAGACAGTCCTTTTCTTCTACTATGAGACGGGTTAGATGGCCCGGCACCTGCCCTAATCACTCATCAATGTGGTGCAGAGCCGGCTCCTAACTCGCCCCCCACCCCACCCCCACACTCCCCACCCAAGTGCTGAGTCATATCTCACTCCGTGGGCAGAACACTTTGCCATCAGTCATGCCAGCCACTTCAAATCTTTGAAGAGTGGTTTGCCTTTAAGTATACTGCACAGATTCATCTTCAAGCAAGAGTTTATAAGAGCTACACACAGCTAATACATTCTGACTGATAAAGACAGATGTGTGGGAGTGTGTATGTTTGTATATAACTTCAGCTGTTTCTCTGCCACTCTGTGAAAAGAAATCAAACAGCTCACCAAAACTAGTTGAAAGTTTTATTTATATAAAATTCATTAAGAACATAAAAGATTGAGTTTATTAAAAAATCTGCAGTTATTTACAGCAGTATTGCACAAGTAAAGTGGCAATTACCCTGTCAAAATTCGTCAGTGCAAAACACAAGTAAGCCAGGGAAATTGCAATACAAATGCTACATATGCTGGGTCCTAGGAAACAGGTTAGTGAAGGATCAGTATACAAACAGATCAGTGCTATTTATAAATGGGTACCTGATGAGTTCTGATACAGTAACTAGTGGTCACAGAACCTGGACATAAAACCTAAGAGAGCTTCTAAAGTCTGAAATTCCCAAATAAAAGTAGTCAAGTTACTTAGCTGGGAGCTTGAGGATGCTTCAGGATGCTTCTTACACACAATGCTGTTTGGACTAGACCCCAAACGATTTAGCGTTGTGTGGGGACAAATCCCGCACACACGTGTGTGCCAAGGGACACACACAGGCACCAGGCTAAATCAGCAGGGATGGCACAACCACCCACACGGAACCACTAGGAAGTCTCCCTAAAGCTTCCATGAGCTTTCACATCTTGCAACCCAGTCCTGGGGGGCCCCCCGGCCTCTCTGGAAGGGGAGGGCAAGGACCTGAAGAAGCAGGCTGACCAAATGCGGTGACCAAATGGGTGGGGAGGGGGATGTACAATTAGCGTCTGAAGACAAATAGTTTAATCCACACCTCAAAGCACAGGAAGCCACACAGCAGGTGGGGAAACCCAACTATCACCAGTTGTCAACAAAGGGTCAGTGGCGCGAGGTGGTCCTGAGGCAGGGACCCACTGTCCCACCTTGCCCTGGACAACCAACCACAAGGCAGCATCTCCAGAGGTGGCACATTTTCATTTCTCTCAACACTGAGCTGTCAGGGATAAATTTTCAGTGAAAAAAATCTTCCCTATCTGCCGATAATACATTTTTTTTTTCAAAGATAAGGCCTGGAGTTAGCAAAACTTGCTTCTATGAGAAGCTAGCTGCTCTGAACAAAGCGAAGGTTGCTGGGTATTTCTTGGGCGTGGAATTTTGTAGCCTGCCAGATTTACAGCTTCTCACTGGTATCTAAACACAAACTTCACTACAGGAGCAGCAAAGCCCAAGAACTGAAACCCATTTGACTGGAAATACCAGGACCCAAAGCTGGAAGACCACGCGGTCTGCAGTGAGCTCACCAGTCACCACCTCACACTTTGGGAGTTAAAGCAATCTGTGGGGGTGGCAGGGGTGTGGGGGAAAAGGATGTCAACACTTTCAGAACGTAAGACATTAAATAAGCAGAAAATAAATATACAATATTTCTACAAGTTACAGCATTATGAAACAGTAGGACACATTACACAGAAAAAGAATCTACAATATTTACAATCCCCAGTTCTGAAAAAGTTTAGAAAAACAGTGATTTTTACTCATTTATGCTGTACAAAATTTTACAAGAAAGGTAAAGAAAACACAATTGCACACAGACATCTGGCTCAGTTGATAAGTAAAATATGACATACTAATCTAATAAATAGTCAAAATATATACAATATTAAGAAGGGGAAACAGTAGAAAATTGTATTCCACTGTGTACTTTATTTTTTTTAACTCAGAAGGAATTTTAAACTAATTTCTCCACAACCCCCCCCCCTCAAATTCTTCATCAACTCATTTCTGGGAAGGAAATCTGAAGAATCACTCACGAAGTTATTTTGTGTGTGTTTATTGCATTTCGTGTTGAGTCACAGGACACTTTTTACAAACCTCACATGGGGAGAGGTTGTCAAGGCACAAAACCCGCATTAAGTTTTCAAAAAAGGGATCTAGTTATTTTTTCTACAAAAAAATTAAAAAATAATAAAAAATAAAAAGGTATACCCATGGTAGGTAGGCATCCTTTCAGTAAGGGAGGCATCTTGATAAACAGATACATACAGTACAGAGACATCCAGTCAGCTAAGTTCTCGTGCCAACATCCTGTTCTTTAATACTTCTTCAATTCATAGAATCTCTTATTTCCTCATGAGCTGCTTCCACAGCCATCCTGGAGGCTGGGAGGGCTGCCAGGCCAGAGGTAAACAATCCCCGTGGCGCGCACAGCCCTTGGGCACCGGGTAGGCCGAGCCTCCTGCGCCTGCCCCGGGCTGCACCTTGGGCTCCTGGGAGCCGCAAACTGAGGGAACAGAGTAAAGTGCTCCAGTCAGAGAGACTGGCACATGAGCACGGGGATTCTGGGGGGAGGGCCCAGAACCAAACTCGTCTTTGGTGTGTGTGTCCAGCAGGCCCACAGCTGCCACTGTCCCACCACTTTACAGCCGAGGACTTGGTGTGACCCTACAAGCGGGTTCAAGACACGTCAGGGAACAAGCTGAGCTCCAAAACACAGCTTTACAAATATTCAAAAGCCCAAGGAGATTTTGGGGGAAAAGAAAATTTTTTAAAAAGAATATTTGGAATCAAATCATCTCTACCTAAAAGAAAAAGTATATATGCAGTGTATATATATATATATATATATTTAAAAAATTATGAAGATACAAATGAATAGATTTTTCCACTTAATGATGTGAATACACTGGTTCTCTACGGGACAAAAGTAAATATGACTGCTGTTGGCACTGCTGACTCATTTGAAAAGTCATGAATTTCTTTAAGAAAGTTGCTTAATGATTGGAGTTTTCAAAAATCTTAAGAGTTACAGGGTTCACAGAATCCTCTCCCCTTCCTTTTGCAGCTCCCTAATCTGTCTCTTTCCTGGGTCTCCCCTGGTGTCTGCCTACATTTGAAATGACTGCCTGGGCTTTCCGCCCACTGCACTCCTACGGGCAGGTACAATCCTAAGGGCAGGTACGAAGAAGAGCGCCCCCTTGCAGAGGCGGGGGCATGAGTGGCCTGACAAAGCCCAACTATCCCAACAGAAATGGAACAAGAGACTTCTGCCCAGTGAAATTCTTCTATTGCTGGTGGAAGAGGGATTAAGCCTGTATTTCAAAGTGGACTGTGAGGAATGGGGACCAAATGCCAAGCATCACAGGCCAGGTGGACTCCGGGTAGGACTAAAAGCCAGGAGGCCTGGGAAGTGGCCATCTGAAGTCCCGCCGATGGCCTGTGCCAATCCCCACGAGGGCACGAGCTCCGACTCCTGCAGCAAGACTGTGCTGCACGTGGGCATGGTGACCGTCTGTACCCCGCTGCTGACAATATATCCTGTGACCACAGGAAAGGCTGCAGCCAGAAAAGCCAACAGCGCAGAGGAGCATGATCCTTGTCTGCTGTTACGACTGCTGTTACCTCTTCAGAATACTTGCAAATGGCGCCCCCACCAAAACTGAATGAAAACCACCACCTGGTGCTTCTACTAATAATATACTGATGGAGCTGTGTGTGATACAGGCAGATATTAACCCTTGTTCTGACCCCATTACATTTTATCATGAAAATGCACTGGACCAAATCCATGCATCCGAGTCCAGACTAGAGGAGCATCACAAAAAGTAGATCAGGAAAGAAACGAAAAATAGCCTGAAATTTTGCCACAGATGCAACTGAATTTAAGGAGGTACATAAATATTTACAAAAAGGGAGTGGCGTACTAATGCAGGCTGACAACAGACCTTTTGCCCCTTTAATCAATTTCATTTCACAAGAATTCTTTTGGTATCAATAATTGAAAAAAAGGTGAAAGAGGCAATGGCAGGGAAGGGAGAGGGCATATCACACTTCTCCCTGCCTAAAACTTCTGTAATCTCTAAAAATAAACTAAGGCAGCTTTATAAATTAGCTGGCTCAGTTTCCACTGCAGGGTTTACATAATCCTCTGAGATTAGGCAATAGGTTCTTAAATTTTTAGTACAAAAATCGTTCATGAGTTGGTTAAAAAGTTTCCATTTCCTTTTTGAAAAACCTGTTCTTATTAAAGAAGGTGGGGGAAAAAACACACTGCATGTAAACACCATTCTTGCATAAAATCCTGCTCCAAAGAACCATGGTTTGTACATTTAAAAAAGAATCCTCCCTCATTTACATTCACAACTTCCATTAGAAAATTCTGCTGTGTCGAGGAACAGAAGGGTCAAGTTCACATCCAGCTCGATGTCTTCTGACCACGTGGCCCGCCCCTCCGCACGCCTCCTTCTCTGGGAAAGAATCGCTGGCTGCACAGGAGTGGCACCAAGAGACTGCGGTGCTGGGGCTTGTCGGTTTGAACAAGTGAAATGTCTGCACAGATCTCGGCTCTGCAAAGAACCTGTCAATGCCTCCTCCACACCAGGCGGACAATGTAACGTAACAGTCGCAAGATAAGCATTTGAGGGTGGTCTTCGTCGGCTTGGTAATTATTCAAAAATACCTGAAACAACAGAAAGAAGGCTTCTTAGTTTCTCCCTGATTTTTTCGGGTGGGGAGGAGAGGGGAGGGTACCCATATTTAAGTGAACACCCAATCCCATCTTAATCGCTATGGAAAGCACTCCTTAAAGAGCAGTGTGTTGTCGAACCGCAATTCCTCCCTGAGACTGTTACGGGAACTTGTTTCCATCTCCCCTGCAAAGGGAAGATGTCACCATAGAAAGGGCAGGCATACCAAATGATTTTTTTCTTAAAAATAGAAAGAAAAAAAAAAAAGCAACCAAATGAAGGTTCGGGAAACTCAAAGAGGATCCCTGAATCCCAGTGCTCAGCATGGCAGACTTCGTACAGTGCTGGAGAACAGCCGCCCTCAGTCACCGGAGCTGGGATGCCAGGGAAAGAGGCGGGGGTGGGCACAGAGGGGCAGAAGGAAGGAAAGGATGCACTTGGTAGATGTGTAGGAACCATCTTACCACCCAAGTCAGCTGGCATTCAAATAGGCTTCAGACTCTCCCCAAGGGTGAATTTCTGGTAGCTGTAATTTATTTGAGCAACCAGTGATTTGGGGTAATTTGCCCTAAGAAGCTAAATAAAGTGGTGCAGCAATGCACCACTGCGCCTCTGGCTGCTCAGCTGCGATAAACACTGGGCCCCAGCGGGGTGCCCACGGTCACAGACACAGGGTGAAGTCCACCCCCACCCTCCCATACTCCAGTGTTGTGGGGAGAAAAGAGCAATTAAGTACAAAAAAAGCCTCTCTGCCAGTGACCACCATATGTGGATTACAAGCTGAGAAACTGTTCAAAAGGAAATCGCCAGATTACTCAAAGCTTTCAGAGTCCTCAGGTCTTCCAGAGCACCCACCTTTGGGTTCTAATCCATTTGGTGGGTAAGTGCAAGGTGTAAATTCAGCATAGCCAAAGAAGGCAGCAGAACACATCTGCCCTAGCACTATGAGCTACAACCTGTTTCACTGTTCCAGTCTGAAGTCTGCCCCGGTCATTTCCTTAATGACTAACCCACACCTAAGACCAGCTGCGTGACTGTCTACAGCTCTCCACGAAGTCCTTTCTCGTTCTGGTGCGGGAGGCTTCCAATACACCATTGTGGGAACCAAGGACCATGAATCAGGCTGAGACAACTATCCCCTTGCAGACCCCAAACAGCTCCCACAGACACCAGCTGCAACTGGAGCTCCCTTCTCCCCACTGTTTACACAAGCTCTCAAGCGCTTGTTTGACAGAATGGGATTGTGATAAGGCCAGGGCATTTCCCCTTTTCCTTCCATAACAAGATTGGAGGAAATCAGCTTTATGTAAGCGATTCCTGTAGAGGCACTCTGTAACCACAGTCTGTGATTTTTATCTGTTTTACACACAAGATTGCTTTGTTTTGATTTAACTTTCAAAATTACTTTGCTTCTTCTCTGTGAGAATAATTTAGGGGAAGGTTAATTTTAGTGTAGACTAATATATTAATAGATTGAAAGAGGCTTATTCAAAATAAAACCACGACTTACTAAAATGAAGAAAGTATGTGCTATGATGGGCGAAGTCATCAATCCAAGGTGGGAAGTCTCGTGACAACCTAGTGTCATCACCGTCCTCAGCATGGCCAGAGGAGGGGGCTGACTGAGTGTGTACAGTCACAGTGACACCCACAAGGGGACTACTGGGTCATGGGAAGGACAGACCCCAATTGCTTACACTTGGCAAGTTTCATGTTCTAGTACAGGCAGCTTCTGCGGGCAGAACTGTCCCACCCACCCTGAGGGCAGCCGGTGGTGGTGACCAAGGGTGAGGAGAAGTCATCTCATAGGAGAAATCTTACCAAGCTTCTAGAGGTCTGCTTTCTTCTCAGCTGTAAGGGATTCGGAGGTAGTATTCAACAACATGCTAGGAGGGTGGAGGGGGGGGGTGGGGGGACAGAGGAAATTTTGGTAAAAAGAATGCTCAATCCCTAACTAAGGAGAAGATGCTACAGCTGTCTGTGGGGGCGCTGGGACGCCTGCCCTCTCAGACAGTGGGCATGACAACACGGCACACGCTGTTAAGCTGACGAGCAATTGCTGTTGGACAGCGTTCAACGGGGGAAGCCATTACCACTGACTCAAAGAGCTGTGCCAGCCCAGAAAGCCCTTGACAGCTGGCACAGCCGGCTGGGGCTGCTGCTGGCGCAGTGCGTATGGCCCGTGCTGCGGAAGACAGCTGGGGGACAGGCAGCTCCTACTCCTGGCAGACTCGCTGCCCTCTAATTCCTGCAGCCATAAAAATTAGCGTGGCTTACAGTCTGGGCCTGACAACACTAAACTGGGGCAGGTGGCCCAGAGCCGCACAGAGTGAGGACGCAGAACCCGACACTTAGCACATGCGGATCACCGACGGTGCAGCCAGCTCGAGTGGGAGGTCTCCCTGCATCTGGACAGAGGAGGAACTGCTGCTGCAATTCAGCTTCTAAATCAGGGCCTTTGGTTTTGGGAGGGTGTAAAGGGGTTAGGATACAGTTCAAAGCAATTAGAGAAAGCCCCCTAAGACAAAGTGTATTGGTGAGAGGTCAAAATCAGCATATACCTGGTAGGTTCTGGCCAGAGCAGCACATCCAAGACAGAATTTGAAAGTCAGGCCTAAAAATGACAATTGCCACATCGTGGGGCAGTCATCAGTTGCATGCAAGTGTGACAGTAAGGCTGAGCCCAGCACTGTGATTTGCAGTGCTAGTGGTCCCTGACATCTGAACTGGGGCTAGGACAGTCGATGCACCACAGGAGCAGGAGCAGCAGCGGCGGCGGCAGCGACCGGCCCTCCCCACACCTGCTGTGTCTGCAGGGCCAGCCCCGCCTCGTGTCCCTAGTCTGCCTTGGCTCCAGTGGTTCTTAATCAGATGGAAGAGGCATCTGTGTATCAAAGGTGCATTTAAGTCTTGCTACTCCACAAGGGGACTAAAAAAAGACAGACTATCTTTCCTGATTAAAACATTAAAAACAACTAAAATAAGTATAATCAGGAAAGAAGTTTCATCTCCCTTCTGAAACTTCTCCTCTGTGATTGGCTGAACTGTGTCCCCCAAACTCATGTGCTGCAGCCCTGAGCCCAGTACCTCACTGTGGCTGCACTTGGAGATGGGGTCTTCGATAAGGAGATTAAGTGAAAAGGAAGTTACTGGGGTGGGCCCTAATCCAAGGTGTCCTTATAAGAAGAGACGACTGGGACTCAGACACGCCCGGAGGGGAGGCCACGTGAAGACATGGGGAGAAGGCAGCATCCACAGATCAAGGAGTGAGGCCTCGGGAGACCGAATCCTGCCCGTGCCCGGATCGCAGCCCCCCAGCCCCACAGCTGTGAGCAGCCCAGTTGCTGCCATGTGAGCCCCAGTCTACGATGCGGTGCAGGGCAGCCCTCGCAGACTCACCCCTCTTTCATTCATGCCTACCTGTCCTTCTTGGTCCGTCACCCTTTCAGTGAAACTAACACTTCGTAGATCAGACTTGGGCAACTAACAACGTTTTAGTCTAAATTGCAAAAATACTTTAAAAAGATATATTGCAATGACTCATTTGAGTGAAGGAGATGATTTTAAAAAACCAAATTTGCTACTGAGTACAACTCATGTGATCGTTACACGAATACAGTTGTCCCCTCTCTCACGCACACACAGCTCACAAGTGCGGGAAGAGGAGGGCCCCGTCCTGCTGGGTCCCGTCACCTCCATGGCCTCCGTAAGGGCTGCATTTGGGCTGGGCCATCTGGGGTAAACGACCGCTATGGTCACCCCACATGTCCACAGGTAACCCCTCCAGGACAGTCCCTGCCCCTCTCTGGGCAGGGGCTGCGGCAGCCTTGCCCTGATGCCAGCTTGTGCAACGGCAGGGCCGGACTCCACAGCCTGATTGTGTACCTAACCAGGTCTGACGGGTGATAGCTGTGTCGCCAGCACAAGATAGTAAACAAGATAATATGCCAAGGACAATACAGAGGCAAATAAAATGACAGAAAAAGAAGCACCAGCCAGAGAGGTGAGTGGGGGAACCAGGGCAGGAAGGCACCAGCGCTACTAATCCCCACACTGGGCTCTGATGGGAAGAGAGAGTGACTCGGAAGGACGAGAGGAGAAAGGATGCTGCAGGTGGAGAGATGAACCTGAGCAAAGGCAGGAAGGCTTGAGGGCACTGCGTCTGAGAAAGGGCAAACAGCTCCGCAAAGAGGATATTCTAAACAGCGAGTATTTGACTTCTCGTAAACCAGAATGAAAAATGACACCAAGTTACAGGACTGTTCCTGTAGACGAGTCCCCTCGAAGTGGAAAGATGTCGTAGGACTCAGTCTCTAAGCTTCCCTGGTATAGACTTGGGCACTCTAAGGTACCTTTTTATATCTAAAGATATGAAAAATCTGAGATGGTGTCCGGAGCATATGGCAGGGAATTCCTGAATAGTTCCTGATATGCTCATGTGACACCAGATGATGCGGACTCATCTGGGTGGCAGCTGGGGAGGGGCTGTGCCAAGGGAAAGTCCCAGCACGGAGTTGCTGCCAACCCACCAGGGGCTGGAGCAGCCCACGTGGTGAGGAACTCTGAGTGCAGGACAGGAGCATGGAAGCTCTGAACTCCGACCACCGCCACCCTGAGCCATGCCACGTGGGGCTGGGGACAGGGCTGGAGGGTGACTAAGCACAGCCACAAGCCACCACCACAGCCTTAGCGCTGGGACATCTTCAATTTACATTTGGGACCATCAATCGAGTATTGGGGAATTTAATTACATTTTACTGCAAAAATAATCACAGCAAAAACAATGCCTCTTGCTCCGTCCAGGGAAGCAGGTGCTTGGGAAACAAAAGAGGCCCTGACTCCAGGGAACGGATCAGGCTGACCACCTGAATGCAGAACGCAGCTTTGGACTTGGCTTCACCCTCCCGCAGGGAGAGATGAGCCTGGCCTCTAAAAGGCAGCCCAGGACACACCAAGCTGTTGGATTTTCTGTGCCCAAGCTTAAGCACAGAAG